GCATCATCAATAATTGCTTGTTTTTTAGGGAGACTTTTAGCATTCATTAAAATGGCAAAATCTAACCTGCAACTGTTGTGCGATTTCTCGGTACTCCTTGCTCATGGAGGAAAGCATCTCACTCATCGCCTCCAGACGACTCCACTTGTGATCAACCAGTTCCTGAGACTCGTTTTGTGCTAAAGACACAAGTAGTAATGAGCATTTGGACCAAGAATTATCAAAAAGAAAAAAAAAGAAAAACAGAAGTGAGTGTCAACACACAACGCATGGTTGCAAGAAGAGAGTGCCTCGCCAGGAGCAGTAACTTCCTCGCGTCCGTGTAGGCTGGATTGGCAAGAATATAGTAATCTGAAATTGAAAAGAAAAATAGAACCATCATGAAACAGCACAACAATGACAAATTGCTTCATTGACAGGCCTTCAACGTACATCTAAGTATTCCAATGGCACAGGCGTAGACAAATTCCGTGTGAGTTAAATTGAGCTGTTGGAAGAAACGACCTGAGATTTTGAGATGCTCAACAACTCGATTGTAGATGGGAAAGTGACGCAGAATGATATCACGCTCAGCAGGAGAGAAGTCCAAGAAGTTGTAGCGATCGCCAGTCGCATCATAATCCCGCGATAACATCAGCAAAACTTCGGAGTAAAGACTTGCTCGCACCAAATGACCTCTGGCGGACAAACTCATTTGATTGAAGCCTTTAAAAGGTAGACAAAAGAACCATTCATATGTGCCGTAAAAAAAAGAAGAAAAACAATCCCTTTTCATAGACAGTTGCTAGCAGAGTCTCGCGAGACTCAGAGTGACAGGCAAAAAGGTCGTCGGATGTCTACAGTGAAGCAAGTTATGCCACACAGTCGAATGCTGTAGGCGTTATTCACTTGAGGATAGAAAATTTGCTACGAGGTCACAGTGGCGCCTTGGTTACTAACTGAGAACCAAACCTTGCACAATGAATTTGCAATCAGACAGCCTGTTGCAGAATTGGCAAAACCTCGAAAGCAAGTGAAGCCATCTTTACCACTTTTCACACCTCGTTATGGACAGTAAAGTTGGAGGTAAAGGTTGCTTTAATTTATGCATTATGTAAAGTGTGTCGCCTTTTTGTTTTCTCTCAACAAGCGGTACTCACCTCCACCTATACTACTGTGAAATACATTTAAAGAATAGGAGGAAAGGGGAAAAAAACTATACTTTGTTGCAGTTGTTAAAACATCCTTTAAATTCACTCAAAATTCCCGCCATGTTGATAAAACTGGTTAGCACATAAACGCCTACTGAAATAAGTAGTATTTTGAGGTACAACAAATTTAATTGCATTGTGGACAAGTGAACCTTCAGATGCATACAGCGAAAAACGAACACAAAAATGCCCATTTATACTCAGTGACTGGACATTGGTGAACCATTTAAACCAAGGTGAAGAGAGATGAACGAGGGCTAGGCGTGTAGCACGAATTACACAATCGGATAACAACAAAAAAAAACATTCTGTCAACGTCATTATCAGCCAGTATTAGTTAATCATGACCAGTCGAGCACCCGACTGTGAAGCATTGACGAGCAGGGTGCTCGAAATCCAATTTGGCAATCGCACAGGCAGCCAGGCAGGCGCGTATGTTGGTGTTTACACGTGAAAACCCGTTGGGACGAGAGGATAGGGTGGTAAGACACGTGATGCGCCAGTAATGAATCAGACGTTGTGCGCGTATGTGCATGTATGCACAAATGTTGTTATTGTTGTTGTTGATGTTGTTATTTTTATTATTATTATTATTGTTTACACACTCCGGCGTGACGTGGGCGCTGCGACCAATCTGATTGGTTGATCGCCTCCGACTGCTGCTTCTGTGAGGTCGAATGTCTGCGGCGTCGCGTTGAAGATCAGCGAACGGGTTAGCCATGTCGCGTGCTATCAATTTGCCATCTGCAGATTGGGAGGGGTCTGAAGGCCTCAAGTCACATACGTAGAAGTGAGTGTAATTTTGGCAAGTTCGTATCCTAGTGGAATGCATCTGCACAGTTCATTAGATCGCTCCGTTCTTTGCGTCTAGCCGAGTGGGTGGCTTAAAAAACCTCATAATAAAACGACTCTGACTTGATCAAAGCCCGTTACAGTTGATACGTGTTTAATACAAGATTCAGTGGACGCGCACGATTATTTCCAACAAATTTTGCCTGTGTCAGAAGGTGGCCCGAGGACAGCAGTCGACTGTTCCACTCGTCTCCGCTAATACGTAGTTTGCTAGGCTTTCCAGTCATGCATGGCAGTTATTCCACGAGGCGAGTGTAAATCAATGTCCAACAAAGATTTCACATCTTGTGGTGCTGCACAGACCGGTGTGGAAAGAGACGAGACTGTTGTATGTGTGAACTCACAATGCAAAGGAAGAGGCATTATCTCCACCTTTCGGAAGGAGACAACTTCCTCCTGCCTTAACAACTTCTAACCTTCCACAACAAAATCGTATAAAAAAGTGCCAAACTGATCGCCGGTCTCGCAAAAGACAGTGCACAAAGGCATCGTCAAGAGTTCGGCTAGACAACTCTGTCATTCATTTTTACCACCCAGTTGGCTCCACAAAGTCACCCAACCACTTGACAACCTCCCCCCAATGGCTTCAATCATTGTGCAATCCTTGACACCAATTTTGAAGGCCAAGAAAACCACATTAAAAATGGCAGTTTATGAAAAAGAGAGCAAAAAAAAACAGCAACAACAACAACAACACAACGATGTGAACGCAGTGTCCTGTTGCGGACTGTTTCAAGTTGACCAAAGTAATGAGAATACGCATCTCAACAATAACTTGAGCTGGCATCAAATCACAGTGTCAAAAAAAAAAAAAGACATCCAAATACATTCACTGCTTTTACTTTAAAAAAAAAAA